TCATTTGGCGGGAAGATGTATTTTTACTAGTACAATGAATATCTATGGTTATTTTTATTATAAACATTATATTTACTATAATGTTAGTAACAACAAAATAAGATATAACATTTTCGTTAATTAAAGAAAAGGGTAAACAGGTGAGACAGGCAGTAAAAGTACAAGTGCAGCCATCCATGTTTAAAAACAATTAAACAAGTAAACTCACAGTGGGCCCGTCACATATATGTGACACCCGGCGTGAATGGGGTAATCATTATATTTGGGCTATAGCCTGCTGGAAAACCACTCATCTAACATAAACTTCAAACAATATTAATTTATTTTTGCTTAATCATGTTAAAAGAAAGTAAAACAAATCTGAAAAAGTAGATGTAATTAAAACTGTAGAACTACAGTCTACCCTCACATAAAAATAGGCTTTAAATTCTTACCCAATTATATAGACAAAAGACTTGACAGTGTATTCCCTGTCCACACTATTCCAAGTCTTGGAAAAATAGGCCTGGCTATGGTTTATGGCAACATTTGTAGCTCCTACATTAACATTAATAAAGAAATGAGATAACTTATTGGACACATCATCATAATTCAAAAGACTGAAACTCAATTATAGACTAAAGTTTAGTAATATTTTTGATATAGGTCATTTACTTATACTAGAATGTTTTGATAATAATCCAAAATGGAATAGATTTTATTTAATAACAATTTCAGCATGAAAAATGATTTATCTGGAAAAAAAAGCCTTTTCTTTAATAGGCTTCAGTGAAAATAATGCTGCTCAGGCAGGTTAAATTCAAATAGCAGTATCTGTGATGAACAAGCTAAAACTAATACAACCATTTTGCCTGTTTGTTCAAATCCTGTTTCACTAGTCTAAAACCTTATAAAGGAAGAAGAAAAATAATAGGATTTACATGTTATTGTAATTTCAGTTCTCTATTAAAAGTGAAATGTCCACTGTAAACACACTTCTAGAGTGGATGGTAATAGCATTTTACTTCATACAGTCAATATGATTTTAATAAAATTTGTACATTGAAATTCTGAATAATGATTGGGGCAGAGGTGACAATATAAGACTTAATAATATAGAAAAGTGTATTTCAGAGAAATGTCACTTGTGTATGAGAAATTGATGAGGTCAGACCATTTTTTCAACATAAAAACAAATACAAAGTCATGTGCCACAAGAACGAAACTGGTGTCTGGGGCCTCTAGTCTCGAGCCACAAGAGCTACCCTAGTATCCAGGATCTCTAGTCTCACTCAGCAGTGCTGTCTCTGAATTTTCTAAAGTAAAGATATGGAGTACGTATCTGATCTTTCAAAACTTTTTCTGCTTTGCTTGCATCTTCAGTGCTTTGATCTTGCAGGTCACACAAGACTATTTGTGTGTGCACTTGTGCAGATTTACAAAGTTTGGGTGAATCAAAACTGGATATGGTGGTGGGTGAGCATATTGTATCCAGCTTTACCTGTTTCTTGATCATGGTACTAGAGCATTCATTGTGACTGGTCTAAACCCCACCTACCCAGGGCTTTGACCCATGGGAAGGGAGCCCTAGTTGTTTGGGGGAGTCCTTTGGGAGCACTTTCTCTTTTTCTGACTTATTTTCTTATCTTCAATGAGCCTGCCAGAGCTCCCTTGTGGGCTCCCATATTCACTTGCAGGGGAGTGGGCATCAAGGAGGAAGTGCAATCAATTACACTAGTTAAATTTTCAAATGTGCTAATTATGGAGGTCCCCATCAGTCAGACACTGCAGAGTGCAGCAGCCTGAAGAAGGAGACTGAGATATTAGCATATATGAGAAAACATGAAGTTAGTTATACTGAAGCTAAGAGGAAAGTGGAAAGTTTGACACAAACTCAATATTTCCTATGCTGCAACAGTAACTAATGTCACCCTAAGTGCAAGTATTGTTAGTTAACAGCTTGCAGCTAAAGATAAAGAAATTGCTGAACTCTAACAAACTGTCAAAGAATTGAATATTAAAGTATATCAACTGGCTAAACTGGTCAAATTGTTGAATCAACCCAGCATAAATATCTAAAGGGGGCTGATACCAAATCATGGTCCGAATCATACCTCACCATGAGGACATTACCTGGGTCTTGATCAGTTTCTCAAGAGAGAAGCAGGTTGCATTCTGCCAGTCATCTCCCTTGTCCTATGCTCCGATATTATAGTTCTCCAAGAAACAGACTTAACACATCTTGTCTGACAAGGTTGTTTCACTGAGAAACTACCATTTATGTAAGAAGGAATGTGAGGGTAGGGGCAGAGGTGGAGTCGCCATGTACATCCACCAAACCCTCCATTTTACTGAAGTGACTATTGATTCTACTATGGAGTTTGTTGCATGCAAAGTAAAAATTAATCACACATAACTGACAATATGCTCAGTTTATTGTCCACATGACAATGTGGTAATTTATGAGAGATCTTTGCTCTTTAGGATTGTCTACCACAAAATAAATGAATATTAGGTAATTTTAATGCTCAACATATATTATGGCATTTATTGACATGTCTCTGGTTTCTTCAACAATAGCAGCCATGTGCCTTTGGCACACCCTTTATGACTCATTAGGAAGTGATAACTTCCCAATTTGAATTAGATATTTATGTAATACAACAAGAGCACCTTCAGCACCTAAATTTAATGTAAAAAGAGCAGACTGGGTCGCCTTCACAAGGAGTGTCAAGCTCAAAGCTGTTGGAGAAACCACTGATGATAAATAAACAATATGCAGAATTCTATCTTAGATGCATCCATGTCATCCATTTCTAAGACTTTGACAGATACCATTAAGCACAGAGTTCCATGGTGGACACAAAATTGCCGCAGGGCACTGTGTGAATGCAATAGAACCTACAGGCTTTTTAAAAATAACATCAGGAACTTTTGTAATTACAAACTAGCAAGAGCTAGGGCTTGTAGAACAATAAGACGAGCTAGAAGAGACTTCTGGTGGAGCTTTGTCTCAAAATAGCAATACATCAATATTGCAGGTTTTGTCCAATTTTAATAGAATAAATAAGAAAATAACACATTGCAAAATTAAAAACATCATTCATGAGCACCAAATTTCAATTCACCAAGAGACATTGCTAATGCACTCGCCAGGTAGTCCTTCTATACAAGCAGCTCAGAAAATGACCATCCTGCATTCCTAAGTGGCTGAGCTGCAATAGGACATGCCATCATATCCATAAGGATGGTTTGGGTCATGAGCATAGGTCAGCGCTTGCTGGCCACATCTAAGTTGGAGGGAAGGTATTCTTGACTCCACCTCAAGACACTTAATCTGAGTACATCTCAGGGCTCCAAGACACACAAACAAACACTCTGCACAGCATTCTATCCTTTCAGAGTTGAGCTCAATGCCAAACCATACACTATTGACCCATAACCTATTTTAGACCTAATTAGGGTTTTATTTATTATTAGCAAAGACTTCTATCAGCTCCCCATTTATTTCCTGCAATGCACTTTAGTAAATTAAGTGTGCTTTGATATCTATTCTTTAAGTCTATGATCAAAGAATAGACCAAGAAATTTAGCAGAAACTTGAATAGGTATTGGGTGATTATCTAAAGTTGGCCTGATGTCCTTGTGGGACCTCATTTGCCTGGACAAAATTGTGTGAAAAAGTGACAATGACAGAACAATTTGACAGAAAAAGTCCTGTCAGAAATGAAGTTTTGAATAAAAGAAAGCAAGTTTCCACATAATCCAAACACAAAGTTTTTAGAGTAGGTCATATTGCCATGTCATGCCATAGCCTTTTTCTATACCTAAGAATACTGAAATCAAAAAGGGCTTTTTGGCAAATGCATTATAAATATGAATGATGGGAATGGGAATGATATGGGGGAAGTGCCATTAGTTTGGAAAATTCTGGCTTTTCCAAATTTTATTGTGCACTTCTAGCAACTTAATCATCTCATATCAAATCTCATCAGGGCCTGGGGACATTCCTCCACAGGCTTCTAGGGCTCAGGGAAGATCATTCATTGTTCACTTATTGAAAAATCTGGCTGAGAGCTAGAGTGACAGGAATCACTCACCATGAGTGAACAAAGTTCTTGGAAGATGATTAGACTGTGAATGAACATTTAGAAAGGGGTTCTTGCAGCATTATCGCTGCCTGTATATAAGGGTGGAATGTAATGATTTGTGAGCCACGACTGGAAGAGAGTTGACTCTAGGGAGGACAATATTTCCATGCTCCAAATTTTATCAGATAAATAACATAAGATTACCTTTCATCATTATTATTGCACAGAGTTGTAGACTACCAAGAGAGATAATATGGGTATTAAATATTCAATATATCAAATGATAAATATAGACCTTTAAAAATAACAAAGGCTTATGCACAGAGATAATGACACTGCAAAGGGGAGGCAAGGAGTCTTGATACAATACTATTGTACATTTGGGCTGGTCCTACAAGTCAATGTATATCAAACAAACTTTATTCATGGAAAGACTGGTTGTGATGACAAATAACAGAGCTGTAGGCCTTGTGTATACATCTGTGAGGGAGTCAATGGAGAAGCTCTGACCAATAAGTCTATGACTACTTGAAATAAATAACTAGCTAATTTCATTGATCCTAACTTAGCCTACTTTACAATCATTAGATAATATATATTCTTTATACATAGACATATGCACTAATACATATACATTTATGAAAGTGTGTATGTAAGTATATTTATACCATTCACTGTTCTAGACTTAGAGGCTCAGCAGCTTGCACTTTCATATACTTACAGGGGATATGTACATAACACAGAATTAGCTTTGGATAGTGAACATTTAAATAGGCATAGATATGGATTTAATGGATCTCTCAGCTATACTGACAAGGCCTCCCCACCTCCCTTTTAGCCCAATATATTGAGGGTAGACTATAGTTAATCCAGCTAATAATGAAATATTGCTTACAAATGATAGTCATTGACAAAAAATTAAAAACTTACCTGAATAAACACACTAGTTTCCTGTGTTTCTGACAACTGTTGTTGACTTAGAGTAGTCTGAAATAGACTATAGACCGACCAAGTGATTGACAATGAAGTAGCTTGCCCCAGCAAAGCTCCTTCTCCTAGAGTAAAACTTCCAGGAAAATTTGTGAGGAGCCACTTGGTTGAGGTATACATAACCAACAAGCATATACTTGAGATTATGATTGCAATTGGAGGAG